TAATCAGTAATGTAATTTATTTAATTTATTTTAGAAGTACATTATATACTATGTATAACTTGAATTATACACCAACAACTTTGGGGGTACAACGTTGAAGAGAAATTATATCTGGGGGTACGCGAACAAAAAAGGCTGAATACCACTGGGTTAGAGCAAACGCTCCACTAAAGGTCTGTCTATCCTCAATGGTTCATTGGAAAACGAAAATTTATTGAGGACTGTCTGAATAGATTTCAAACTTTCGTTTTCTTCGCTTAAGGGAACGGTAAACCGGTTTATAGAAGCTGAATAGACCTACAACAAAAACCACTTAATGAAGAGAAAACAAATGATTGCGAAAATAGTAGTTTGACCAATAGGTTACTTCCTAGGACTTGAGGTTCTCAATTTCAGACATAACTTTGCAGTGAACGCTATATTAACTCTTCGAAGTTGAAGATAGTTAAGAATTCAGTCAATACCTACCTGCTTCAACAATCATAAACTTTCGTATTTGTATTTCGTATGATTCTCAGCGTAAACACCAATTTTCTTACACAGCGTTAAAAAGTTGATCTTTGTAATGGTGAAGTGAAGTGTTTACTTTGCGGTACGGACTGAATTCTTAAATATTATTTAGACCATCTTCGGCTTCAAAGCGTTAACACAAAGATACACTCACATATATTCGTACGCGAAGACTAGATGACACAATCCTTAATTTTGTTGAAGCAAATTTTGTAAAAATGGATGGATAAGCGAAAATATAATTATTTGGAATAACTTGTCGCAACATGCAAACGGGTTTGCGCGAACAGTTACGAGTACCATCATTATTCGGTTTGTGGAACTCATTACAAGATCACAAAGGTTTGTAGCAAAATATTAGAACGGTAAAAGTTTACTGTTATCCTGAAACTAAGAACGTGAAATCTGTATCCTTTGTTTAGTTTCTATTGTTCGTATTTCACAACCAACAGCGTCGTAATTAGACTTCAATTATACCGTCTGACGTTGTTACACAAACACGGTCGTTAACCTGTACTTAAGGACAAATTAAAATTGGCACATGCCATAATCACCGGGTACTTTGTAATTTGATTTTAGTTGGACCTGTACATTTTTAACTGTTTACAGAATGTGTGAGCTAATTAATAAGACGACATCTGAACCGAAAGAATTGACCAGTGGACCCCAGACCCAGCCTCCGAATGTAGGAGCGACTGGAAAATCCCCACATAAAGAAATCATACACCTATGTTTCTTCTTTCTAAGATTCGTGCTACATGAAAAGGTCATCGTAACATCTTTAATGTAACTACTCTTAGCGTATTAGGTGAATCGTTTTAAGTCAAGGAATTTGTTACGATGTAATTTACTGACGTCCCTCGTCAATTCTTATCTCTTATCACTGAATATTGTCTTTCAATGTTTTACCCAAACCGTGTAAATTGTAAGAAACAAAATTTCACAAACACACGACAAAACGACAAGGTTCATGTTTTGGTTGTTTCTTATTTTTTAAACGACGCTTTGTCAACTTCAGAGTTTTTGCGTTGAATAGGAGGAAGGCTATGATATACGCATGTTAAGATTGAATCACTGTTCCATGTCACAGATAAATGTAGCGGACATCCGTCTGAATTAAGCAGATTTCTGGGTACAATAAACAGTCCAGGCTGATAGCAGCAAAATTACACTTGATTCCGATACAAACAGACAATGACTGTATAAAAAAGGAATGTTTAACGACAGCTACTCACGTAGCTTGGCGTTTCAAGGAATGGTTGGAAGGGTACAAGTTTGGGCAGTTGAAATTAGAATCACGTTTGCAAGACTTCATCTGAGCCTGTGTCTCAGATGTTCCTTTCGGATTTAAAATAAAAAAAATGTCACGATTCAATTTTCATCTCTATCACGTTCCACCCATCTGATCCTCCTCGATCTAATGATCCTAATAAAATTTCATGAAAATTACATATTACGAATCTCCTGTCTTCCAATTTATATTCCAAATATTATAATTAATTGCTACATCATTTGTTGTTTTCTGCTAACGACAAATAACATCTTTCGGGAACAGGTCGTCCTACGTGTGTGCACAGTTCCTTCAGTTTCTTTGTTACGACATGCCAAACAGATTACGTTCTACGTCCTTTCCGTGCTGTATACAACGCCCAACCCACTTTCTATTCACTGCTGAAATGTTTTTCATCTAATTGCATTCATATGTTTAACTCGGCCGTAAAGATGTTTCGAAAAGGTAGTTAAATCTTGCGTGAGAACTACTGAGAAGGTCATTGTAGATGTTGACCTTTTTGGGCATGTCGTAACAAACAAACTGAAATAACCATGACGACTTTAACGGGGTTGTGAAAGTTAATTAATTCTTTTAATGCCAGATGTCATTCGTTCTACAAGGTAGCAACTGACATCTCCAGCCTACGCTCCTAAGTGACCCAAAGTTCTAATGCCTGGGCAACTCTGAACTACGACATATATCAAATTTCACAACCTTCACATGTTGCGTTTTATTCAACAAATTGATCATTCTCGAAAAACAGACCACAAACGAGCAGCAATGAATTACCCAGTTCCCGGGAACGGTTTCTGTGCTGAGAGGCAGCTTCTCCTTAGGAGTCACGTCTTTATACTTCATCTTACTGCAAAGATTTGGACGCATTCCAAATCAACGCCGGAGAGAAGCAGTCACTCACCTATCCATCGGCATGTTTATCGCCGCCAGCTGCAGCAGGTCTAATAATTGGCACATGCCACCACGTTCCTCATGCATGCTCGACAAGGCAATAATCGTAAACAGCGATCGTGTCACACTATGAATAGCAAATTCACAGACTCGTCATATTCTTAACCGTTGAGACAAGGGAACGCGTGTTCTGATGGTCGAACACGTACAAACGTCTGGATTCTCCAGCTGTCTTCAAATTTGGGACTACCTGAAAGGCCGTTCCCGCTCTGGACTAAATAGTTAAGAACTGCGGGAAACAGAATATGGATTAAACGTAAACCAGTCTATATCAGAAAAATTCTCCGGTTCCGAGACTGTGAAATGAAAACCAATGAAAATTTATTTTTATAAACGGGCTGTGTTTAAAAAACGGGAGATGATAACTTGACCGAAAAAGCCTGCTTCATAATTTATGGTCGTGTATTCATGTAATATTGTTCCGTCCTGTTCCTCCGAGAAATTCATGTTGGAAAGAATGTTACTGACTTTACAACAAATACCGCAAGATGTTCAAGAATACAAAACAAATAAGAAATAAAAATAAAATATAACATACAAAAAAACACAAAACATTTACAGGGGCGCCTAGATATTACGTTATAAGCAGGTTAGGTTGTACTTCTTCATACGTTAATTTCGGTTGGGTTAGGATAAGTTGAGTTAGGTTATCTGAGGTTAGGTTAGTTTGGGTTGTTTTGGGGTCTGGCGAGTTAAGCCAGGCTGGGGTGAGTTAAGTTAGGTTAGGTTAGGTTTGGTTGGGATAGGTTAGTTCGGGTTAGGTTAGGTTAAAGTTGTGCTCGGCTGGGGTGAGCTGTGTTTGCCTGGGTTATGGATGCGATTAGCGCAAGCCGATGAGATCTGCGCGAGCATTGTTTGTATTTAAAACAAGCGAAATAATACAATTAAGTGATTTAAACCCATTTTTCAGGGCGAACTACACACAATGTATTTAGCATAGACCTATAGTTATGACACTTTATGTCTTACAGGTGTTTGAGAACATGTCATTGAGGACCACAGAGAGAGAGAGGAATTAACATGTGAAAGTCATGTTGTCAGAAATATACAATTTGTACTCTTCGTCTAATATTATTTAAATGATTAAATAAATTAATAAAATGTGCATGTAGCACGCTTAGCAGAGCTTAAAAATGCGTACAAAAATTTTGTTTAGTAATTTGGGGATTTAGATACACGGAGAAAATAAAAATTGACATTATAATATTATAATGTTGCGAAGGCGTAGACTGAATAAAAGTGATTCAATGTAAGTTCCAGTGGTGGGCTCTTCTGAACACGGTAATGAACCTTTGGCTGATCAAGCAAAGTTATAGGGCCATGGTGTCAATAAATTAGAACCTCTGGTAGGAAAGGGAAACGTTTACATTCTCAGGTACGCTCCACCACATTTTTCCTCACGTACTTTCACCTCTGACGTCACAGAACACGGAATACTTCAAGAACGAGAATACTAACAAGGATTCCCGTTTATGTACAACAAAAAATGCGATGTCCTACCAACAGAATGCAGTAACTGACAATCGTTGTCTTCCTACAGATGGCAGTAGTTCCAAGTCAGCATTATGTGTGACTGACGAGTTAAAGTTCCTACTACAAGATGGCAGCGTCACAGCAGCAGACACCAATAACACCTCAGAACTACCGCCATGGTTCGACTTGGACAAATTTCGAAGGTCAGTCATTGGTGGATGTTACAGAGACATGAAGCCGATCAAAAATAATGAAATGGAGACATTCCTAGTTACTCGTTACTTGAAATAGTTAAACTTATTGGCGGTAAATATTCCACTACCCCAATAATTTACCAATTAACCGACCAGTGGTAAGACGATTACAACAGATTGTTATCTTCCTTTCTTTTCCTTCTATTTTCGTCCTTTTACTTTCCTGTTTCAAAAATAATAAATAACACGAGTCCTGTCATTGTGCCAGGGGCCAACAGTACTTCCACACCAACTACTTCGCAATGTTCGTGGCCAAGTTGTGCGGGTTGCTCACCATCCTCGCTATCCCCAGCATCCTGAGGGTTCTGGTGTTGACCCGCCAGTCAAACGAGCCAGTTGCTGCTTTCAGGCGCTACTTAGTCACAATGATACACATGTTGGACTGGTACGAGGGAGACCTGCTTGAACCAACCTCCAGGTACGACACAACACATAACTGATCTATGATTCAGTTTAGCACAAATAAGTCTGTTGAAGTCCCAAGGGAATTTGAACATTAATCAATTTCAATATCCGTTTCTACTTAATAAGTTCTGACAACACGCGTAAAAATACATTTTCTTTACGGTAAGGGGTTGTTAGCCACTGCGTACATAAATGAAATTTGTCTATTTCTATAAACACGTTTGGAAATTAGATAACAAAACTTTTCATAGACCTAAATCTTCGTTTTTTTATTTAACATAATTTTACCAACTCCACAGGTTAAATATCACCGAATGGCGAGGAAAACGTGTTGTCAGTTATTTTAAATAGTTGCCCCAAAAATTATCTTTAGTCAAAAAGGAAATTAATGAAAAAATTTGTCAGAAAATTTAAATACCGGGCCGAAATTCGAGCCCATGACCTCCCAATGAAAACCTCTAATCCCTACCTCCACACAGTGACTCTCGTCCTCCGTTCTTTGCATATTTCTACATCACCCCCTCAACTTACATGACTCCTAATATCAGCGCCTTATTTTCATGCCCCTAACATCTCACGTTACAAGATTTAAACACGTCTTATGTGATAAGGAGAATGTCCTGAAAGAGTCACTGACGTCATGACCTTCAGTTTCATGGAATATTTTTTTAAATACCGTATCGACGACTCACATGATCTATTTTCAATAAACTGATATCATTACTAAATGAGGGCAAGTTGATGTGAACTGTAAGCACATTTTTTCTGCATTCCACGTGTAGTCAGACTGTGCAGAAATGTTAACTGTGTGGGTCAGACGAACGAATGGTTAACCTAATAAGAACAGCACACGTGACGTTTAAAGTTGCTACACAACTCCTAATGAGAAAAATTGAGTGTCATTTTTGAAATGGATCACTGTTAATTACGACAGCTCCTTGTGCATTCACTAACACACTTTTCCACTCTTACATTCACTACACAAACGAACTGACGTCATGATACAGGACTTTTCGAGCAGCTGATCAAAAAATTCCCAGCTCGTACAGAACCCAGAAGTTCATCTCTGGTGTTCACCAAAGGCTATCACCACTTGTGCTAATTCAGTCCAGATCATTCGAATCAAAATCGATTTCTCTAAGACTCGTCTACTCCTGGGTTTTCCCCTACTTGAGATTTCAGGTTCTTACAAGTACACATCACCCTGATAATGGAAGCAGCAAACTCCTCCGAAACGTTGTTTAATACATCCCAGACTACATCCTAGAAGGCAGTCATCTTCATACTTATCACCGTGAGAACTTGAAACCTCACCTATTGTGAACTTATTTTCTTAACATAGGAGTTGATAGACAAGAGTTACTATTGTGAATTTATTTTTTTAACATAGGAGTTGATAGACAAGAGTTTATCCTTCCAAATTTCTTCATTATCTTGGACTCCCTAATAAAACTGAAGTCGAATATTTGTCCAAAGCGTATTTTCTTCAGCTCCATTGATAAGATAGACAAATTCCCAGCATTTAAATGACACACAAGTGATGAGACACTGTCAAAAGATTTTTAACTCTATAACATTTATCTTCAAGAGTTTAATCTGACGTTTTCTTTATAAAGCGATGACTGACTGACCTGTTCTTTTAGGGCCCACAAGTCCCTGATTGGGGTCAGGACGCGCCACTGTTCGGCCTCCCGGAAGGCACGCAAAGCGGGTTTGGGGCCCATATCTCAATTGGATATGGTTCTGACACAGTTTGGGTTCATGGGCTTCGGACTGCTGGTTCCAGAGAAACTGGGGATTAGTGGATCCCCCGAGGAGCAAGAAGGCTTCGTCCATTTCTGGAGAACAGTGGGCCACCTTTTGGGGATTGAAGACAGGTAAATAGAATTGATGCCGCAAAGTATTCCAGTGCTTCGCACTATTTCAATTAAACCTTATAACTTAAGATGGTAAAGTTGCGTCATATTGTGATATAATAAATATATATTGTTTAAATCTTGTCCGTCTAATCACAATAAATTCTTATTAAATATTAAAATATTACATTAACTTAACTTTGTCTGTCCGTTTCCTGTCCTAACTAAGTAATAGATTTCGATTAAATTTCGTTTGTCGGGCTAGTTTTATTATGCTCCATATCAGTCGACTATAACACACAGTTTATATAAACTTCGTAATAAATATTACCAGACATCAGAATAGGATCTATATACGAGGAATATTAAATTACATAACTCTCTTTAAAATATGTTACTATCAACTGATTACGACGAAAAATTATCTAATCTTCTTGCAAACAGTTTCTTCATCTTCATAATAAAACCCCGATGTGAATTTTGTTTTTGATCCATTAATTCTGAAGCTCTTAGGACACTTTGTTTACAGGTTCAATATTTGTAAGGGGGACGTGTTGGAGACGAAACAGTTATGCCAGACGATTCTGGAACAAGTGTTTGTTCCCGCATTACGTAAACCTCCGAAGGGCTTCGAACACATGTCCCTTTGTCTGCTGAAAGCTATGTGGTCTATGGTGCCATTCCTAGATTATGACGCCTTCATGAGCTTTACCATGCGTTTAGCGGGCGTCGAGACGTCACATAACAGCAAGGAGACGCTGACATTTCACAGCAGAGTAATTCTGGCGTTCCAGATACTAGTCCATGAAGTGGTTCTCAGGAACTGGCTTCTGGCTTGGATGGTAAGACCGATACTAAATTTCGGAATGTGGTTCTCCGTGTTCATGACGCAGCGACTGCCAATTTTAGCGTACGTACAATTCGGCAAAAGTCAAGTCCACTGACTAGCACTGAGACAGAATAGGCGAGCCATCCGACTTCATGGATCACGAGTTCCTAGCAGGGTAAAAGACTAATCGAATTCCTCAAACTACGTCTTTGGTGTCTGGTGAGGTCAGACAGAAATTATATTGTGGTCTATTCTGTATCGTTTTCATCTAGAATATTTTATGTAACATTCGTATTTTGCCTTTTCCCCCCTGAATAAATGTATTTTCTCAACCCAGCCGTCATCTTATAAATAAAATATAAATATAATACGTTTGGTGAATTTCTGAGTTACAATTACATCTACGTTGAACGTCAGAAAGAAACAGAGACAAGTAATTAAAAGCAATAATTATGATATACGTACGTCTGAACGGTATACGAGGATCATACAGGATAATCGGTCAACGAATAATAGATTTTTTGTTTCATTTTGAAGCTAGAAAGAATCGAAAGTAATATCTTTGTGCTGCGTTAACAAACGAACAACGATTGGCGATTAAGGAACTATTAATTTATTTAGTTTGTTTCAAAGATTAGCGGACAAACGTAGTATTGTCATTTTATTCAGATAAAGAGATAAACCTTTAAACCCTGGTAGGGTTTTAATAGTATTTATCAGTACATTCATTTTATAAATCAGATATGTATATAAATAGAATTGTTAATTTAATAAACTTACTACAACGAAAGATCGATAAGCCGGAGGATTAGTAAGTGCCTTAAGTGCAGTAGTTATATTTGATTTTGTGTAAGATTGATGGATCATTCACTGACCACTGTTTCTTCTAATTTACTTGTCTCGTCAATATAACTCATAATTCTGTTATCACAGGCTCACAAAAAATTGCAGTAAGGGTTTAAGTTTTTATTGCGTATTATATAATTAATTTTCAAAATTAATTAGGATTAAGTTTTTATTGCGCATTATATAATTAATTTTCAAAATTAATTATGCCTTGCAGCTATCAGCACATCAACACAAACACAGCAAAAGAATTTCTGAAATTTAAATATTAACCCTTTAAGGATCAGCGGTGCAGAACAGACAGACGAACAGACATTTGTACTGCATTGCTCTGAAATGCATTAAAATATTTAAAGTGTTCTTTGTCGTAGATGGTGTAAAGTTTTTTATCACAGGAAATATGAAAATGTTTGTAGCTCGACTAGATGAAGACATATTCCGCAATTCCCATAACATGAACAGTTTACATATGTCAATCAAATCAAACTCAAAAATCTGTGTTAATAACACGTTTATTAAGCAAGTATTTCAACCAGTTTTACAATGCAAAGTTTGCGCAATACATCTGAATTTGAATGGTTTCTTTCTGTGTGCACTTAATAAACAAAATGAGACAGGCATATGTAAAGAGGGCACTTACGTAATCAGCAAACATCTGTTCGTTTCTTCCGCTAGATGTCACAAACAAAATAACTTAATTAGCGCCTTCGAAACATATGACCAACTAATTACGGATGTACTAGTGCGAAAAGCCCGTTGAAATTCAAAGGAAAATTCCGCATTTTTATAACTTACTACACCTTCTCCTACCTTTACCCTTTTCCTATACTCACATTCTCCCCCTCCCTTCTCCTCTGCTTCCTACTGTAAAATTTCAGCGTTTTATTTACACATTAAAAACACTTCTAAAAGCTGCCTAATGGTAGCGTAACTTGTAAAATGTAACATTTGGCAATCTAGTGTCACTTTAATAGTTTTAGGCATCTGTGAGTGCAACCAAACGTGCCTAAAAGCAAACAAACATAAAACTGCGTTTATGTGAGCATAATAAATATGTTTGTGATGTGGTATATGTACGTTCAGATATGAAATTAGCGAAGTGGTTAGTGTGGGGGTGTATACACAGAATAATTGCCGCAAGACCCCAAGTCCACTTCTGCAGCTTCAAGTAATGCGATCATCCGCAACTTTGCAACGTGACATCACCGAGCAACGTTGCATTTAAAATGCTTTCCAAGCACGAGGAATAACTGAACACGAATCTTTTAAAAAAAAAAAAATTAACGTCTTCTGGGATGTTTCACCGTGCAGTTTCGCAGACACTGACAGCCGCTGCTTCCGTCATCAGAGTGAATATGCTCCTCCGAAACGTCGGCCTGTACCTACCAGACCGCATGGTGCAACATCCCAGAACACAGCCAACTTCAGAATTGTCGCCTTCAAAACCTCAAATCTCACATCGTTCATACATTTTCAAATATTATGATTCCGTTCGTCCTCTAGCAGGTTAAAGATTGTTAGTTTTCGTCGGGAATTTTCCGTTTCCTTTAACCTCAAGTATGAACGATAAGAAAAGGTTAAATTACATGTAATCATTTATGAAATGAGGGCATGAACATTCACGTGAAACTACGTCGTGCAATAGAATTAAAATTTGAAAGCTTGCCAAGATACAATGAGAAGTACAGTTACAGGTACTTTGAACTTCATAAAACAAAAGCCTTGAAGGAAGGCTTTGTCTAACATCACATAGTCACCGAACTTAATAATATTTAATGATAAGTAATTAGCCGGGTATGAAGCAATGTTATATATTAATTAATTATTATATGATTAATATTATAATATGCACTTAATTTAATACAAGCACATACAGAATTTTTTAAAAAAATGTAATTCTATAATTAATGCATAGCTGTTGTAAATATAATATTTTATATTAATTCTGTATATAAGAAATAAAAAATATATTTTATTTCATTGAAACCTATCTCCAGTGCTGAAATTTAACATTCAGTGTCTCGTTTCTGCCTAAACAGAATAATATGATCTATTATTTATTATTATTATTTAGTGTTCTGTCTGAGGACAGGTCCATATGAACAGGATCCTTCCATCCTTTTCTCGGACTGGGACCTGTTCATATACGTTCTTGGCAGATGATCCAGAAGTGGTTTGCCATTGCCTTCTTCTGTGTGTGAATGGAGTAATTGTTGGGATGCCACGGAGAAACCGGGAAAGCCCAGGACAAGAGGAATTATTTGTGAGGATGTTTAGATTAGCAATTACTTTACAATACACATATAAAATCATGTGACGATTTAAAATCAAAGTCAAAGAATGAGAAATTGTTTTTCTTTCTATCTATCTTTCTTTCTTTCTTTCCTTCTCTTTTCTTTAATTTCTCTACAAACATCTAACGGTAAATGCGTAACTGTAGTCGGAATGAAGCGACATTTGGCGTCTTAAAAAAAATATATTTCAAAACTTGCCTGTTGATTTCCTTCATCAGTGTCGCTTTGTTTCAGCTGTTTCGATATGTATCTGAGTAAGATAGCACAAACTCATCTCTCCATTGCGCAGTTAAGTTGTAATCAGGCTTTTCTTCTGCACAATTGTAACACCTTATGCAGGAAATGATTAGCAATAAGAATTATTGTCTGAGTAGTGAACTAAGCTATCGCCTTTTGAATACAGCAAATATATTGTAACTTCTATATTATCAGATGTCCTACTGGAGAAGCGCAAACATCTACATTGAGTCAACCCTTTAAAACCCGAAGAAAATCTAAATACTATTAAGAATTCAGTCCGTACCGCAAAGAAAACACTTCACTTCACCATTAAGAGGCTCAACTCGTTAATGCTGTTTAAGAAAATTATAACTTTTTACACTGAGAATCAAACATAGATGTAATTTGTAGATTTACTAATTGTTCAAGCGGGTGGTACATATAGTTACCACTGCACTTTAAAGGGTTAAATTACAATTTATAAGAACGATTATACACAAGTCTTTTACATAAATGAAACAAATCTAAAATGAGTAGAGACAGGTTTACGTGATCAAGGTTAAGCCATATTTTTTCTAGTGAATGAGATATCGTGTTTTGAAACGTTAATTATAGAAATGAAAGAAAATAGAAAACTGAAATGGTATGACAAACATATAGGTAATTAAGTTTGCATTTAATTGATAATGAAAGAAATTACCAATTAAATTGTAGATAAAATGTGGATGGAATGAAAAAAGATAGGCATATACATAAGCTCAAAAATGCCTAAGAAAATGAGATATAGGAAGATCTAGAAATCGATGACTCCAACCCAACTTTCAAGTTAGAATTAGCTTGAAGTCAGATAATCTATACGTAAGATAAAGATATTAATTCTGGTCTTAACGCCGAGACGCCATTTTATTTCGAAATTTTTGTGATATATATGATTTAAAATTTAGTAGCGATCCAAATATGAAAACGACACACACAGACTTCGCAGCTTTTGCAGATAGTGAGACGATAATATCGATTATCTTCAGACTATGACGCACGTAAATATAGGTTTAAGATCTTATTAAGTACGCAATTTAACTTGTTATAAAAAAGAGATAAATGTAATCTTAGAAATACGAGGTACTATTTTGTGTATGGATTTTCCTGTGTTACGTATAAGATTAAAGATTATAGATCGATTTGCAGAAATATTTAGCGAATACCTACCGCATTTGAGATGGTGTATTTAATAAATTCGGAAAATAAAAACCTGCCAATAAATTCACCGGACTGTAACCGACCAGCCAGAGTAACTAACCAACTAACTAACTTACTAACTAACAAACAAACAAACAAACAGCATTTGGCAGAGTCCTTCTTGATGAGCGAGGAGGAACTCTGTCAACCAGAAGTTCCATTGCCGTGTACACTACTTCAGTGGTACTCAACCTTTTTTGTTCGCGTACCCCCAGATATAATTTCCCTTCAACTTTGTACCCCCAAAGTTGTTGGTATATAATTCAAGTTATACGTAGTATATAATCTACATCTAAAATAAATTAAATAAATTACATTACTGATTATTCAGTGTTTATCATAAAATAATTTTTTTTTAAATTTCACGTACCCCCTAAGATGTCTTCGCGTACCCCCGGAGGTACGCGTACCCCAGGTTGAATACCACTGCACTACTTCATGCATGTCTTCCCCAGTTGTGTAATATTATCACCTACAAAAATTTAGACAAATAGGTCATAACGTCGTATGATGATAATACATTTTGTTGAGGTTATAAATCACGAGAATTAAAAGCTAATTTGATAAGACGCATATTCTTACGTTTAGACAAAAAGTTACGTATTATTTAATTTGCAGGGAAAAAAGGAAAAAAGGAAACAAGTCTCCCAAATGTGAACATAAATCAGCGACTCACTATCCTTGAAGCAGCACGACTTGAAGTCAGAACTCACTTCAATCGACACACAAGTTTCGTGGAACATTGGACGAGAATGTGACATTAACGAAGAAGTTCAGAGCGGATTG